TACGGTCCGCTGGGACTTGCGGACTATAAATGTCCTGGGACATGCCTCAGTGCGGTTAACGGTGGAAGACGTTCACGGAGTTCGCCACGCCTTCTCGCTGTCGGTAGAGGTGGCCGAAGGCCTTAATGAAGGCCTCTCTTACAACACAATCTTACTTGGTATGAAAACCATGCGCAAGATGGGTGGACGACTGGATATGGGTAGTGACATATTCTATTGTGGCGTATTACATGCGCACTGGCCTATGAAACCTTTCTCGGTATCAACCGTGAACACCATCGTGGATACGCCGCCAGAGAAGCTGGTACTTCCAACACAGGCAACGATCGACGAAAGGCTCGAAGGCTGGACCTTCCCCAAGGTGACGGCCAGCCTGAAGCCTGGAGCCGTTCGCCCGTGTCCACGCCGCCCTCACCTCGGGAACAAGCGAGAAATGATGGCCTTGTCACTCTTGGTGGGAAACTTGGTCACGGCTGGCATCGTCGAATTGCTCACACGTGAGCAGGTAGAGGCGCGTAGCGTCTGGATCTCGCCGGCCTTCGCGGTTCCTAAGACCGATGGGGCTCGGGATGGCGAGGAACTCACTCCGGATAACGTAGAAAAGATGTATCGCCTAGTTATAGATGAACGTTCGGTAAATGCCTCCGTGCAAGACCTCCTCCCGAACTGGAAAACCTACATGCGACCAGTCGAGGCGTGCCTCTCAGAGCTACCTGCCAAGGAGATATGGTATGCTTCGGTCGACGTGGCCCAAACATTCTTCAATCTGGAATTTGACGAGTCCTGTGTGGATCTATTTGGTTTTTCCTACTATGCCCTAGGCGTAGACGGGGAAGCTCCGAATACCTTGCGTTATGCCGTTTTCAGACGGATGACGATGGGGTTCAAGCTTTCGTCCTTCTACTGGGCCTATTCAGTGCACTCGCTCCTTACAACAGCACTCCCAGAGGTCTACAGAACTGATGGACCTACGCATATCTTGGACTTTGTTGATGATATCCTTGTCTGGTCAGCCTACTTTGATGAATGTCACGCGTTGAAAAGGCTGGCCATCCATGCTCTGGAAAGAGTGAATGCCAGGGCCCCGGTTCTAAAACAGAAGGGCCCAGCAAGATCACTGGATTACCTCGGCTTCAATCTCGGGCAAGGTGGATATTTCTTATCCAAAGAGTCTATGGATACGCTTCGGGATGCACTCTCTTCGACTCCACAGACGCTGCGAGGCCTCAGAACGAAGCTGGGCATTCTCCAGTTTTGTCGTTCGCTCTGGCGTCCGCATAATAACCACTCTGATACCTCTCTCGCACACTTGACGGCACCATTCACCACTCTAGTGGGCAAGATGGTCAGCGGGGGTGCGAAGAAATCAGCACGACTGCGATGGACAGAGGAGCTCTCTTCTGCCTGGAACAGCATCGTCAAGAACATGGGGGACGGCTTCGTGCCTCACCATTCCTCTGACGATAACTGGGAGGGTATGCAACTCGTGGTGATGAGCGATGCATCACCGGTGGCGAGTGCTGCGTGTTTATTTCGCTTACCACGAGAGGTCTTCGTACGTCAGCTCGAGGCAGGCGAAGTATCAGCGGAATGGATATCCTCTCTTCCAACTTCGGCCTTGATAGGAGTGTGGACGCACAAATGGACGGCTCCAGAAAAGGCCTACGACATCTCGGATCGCGAGTTGCTCGCTACCTGTTCATCTCTGCTACACTGGCGCAGTCTCATACTCCCCTTTGTCAACTTCTTCGAGCTCCCCAAGACCGATGAGCACCCAACGATCGGTAGAGTAGCAGTCTACATGGACTCGAGCAGCGCCTTGGGGAAGCTTGCTGCACGGCTGGATTCCGCCAAGTATACCCCCACGTCTAACCAGTCGAAGCGCTGGCTAGGATGGTTGAGCGAGCTCTTGGTCTTTAGCAACTTGGACCTTACCTACCATCACGTCAGCGGTCGCAACAACTCCTTCGCCGACCTACTCAGCAGGCTTCTAAACGGCGGGCGCCACTTGGTCCCTGAAGGGGGTGGGCAGCCGCTCGTCCTATTCACCACTGATAGCCATGGGCCATCCACAGACTCGTCTGCGGAAAAGCTGGCAAAGGCACTGCTCAGTGGGCAGCTTCTCCTAGAGCTGCATCGGTTACAATCGGCCGATGGGAACACTCGTGTCCATGGGGACACTTTGAGTGCGTGGCATGCCCACTTCGTCAGTGGTGAAGATATCACCCGCACGTCGCAGGAAGCCAAATCTCTCGGACTGGTTACCTTCACAGATGGTCTCGTAAAGGTCATAACCGACGTCACTTTGCATGGCGAGGTTATCGTCCCGGTTATCCCTATCGGGAAGGTAGTGGGCCTGGAGCAGATCATTAACACTAACGTGGTCCCAGACTGGGAACTACGAGAATGGCTGATGTTCACTGCACATGAGGCCGACAGCCATCGGGCATTCCCACAAGCTAAAGAGGCCATCTCTTGTCTCGCTTGGTGGCCATCCATTGCTCGGGACATACGAGCTTGGATAAGTCGTTGCGACTACTGCATGGAGCAGAAGCCAAGTAAAAGGGCAAAACTGGTGAGCGCACCGAGGGTACCTAGAGGGCTCTTGGACATCGATGCGCGCGGGAAGCATCTGGCCATGGACCATGGTTATCCTGTGCCGACTTGGCCGCCTGCCACGGATCCTAACAACAAGGCCTTCTTAGTCATGACGGACCTCGCCACCGGATTCACTCTACTCAGATGTGTCCCTGATGTTGGGGGTCCCACCACGTCCGCGATCCTTTTCGAATCCTGGGTAGCGTTGATGGGGGTTCCCTTGTCTGTAACGGGAGACAACTTCTTGGACACTCCCTCATTACGGAATTCCCTCAAGGCCTGTGGGGTCCGCTTCCTCACTGTTCCGGCCTGGTCCCCGTGGTCCAACGGGAGTGCTGAGGCCCGGGTCGGCAGGGTTAAACGTATACTTCCCGGATACTCGCTCCCGTGGGATGCGGCCATGCCCCATGTGCAACTGGCCATCAATTCCCAACAGCGAGCAAGCGGTCACTCAGCAGCGGATCTTATGCTCGGCACGAAGGTCAACACACCTTCAACGGCCATACTAACGGCCATCTTGGACCCCCACCGCGAGCTGGATTATGACAGTCTAGAGCATTTGGCATCTTCGCTAAACACATGCGAGGCCGTGCGCCAGGTTATCGTCCAATCAATAGGCCTTGCTCGGTCTGCAGTACTCCAGTCTCACGTAAGAGACTGTTTGCGGGCCTCTGCTGCCCGTCCGGGGAAACCCGTTGAGCATGGGGACTTGGTCGTCTGGCGCCGCCCCGGCGCGCGCCCGGTCGAAGGTCATGTCGTAATGGTCGAGGGTGTGAACGTGAGCGAGGGCCCTTTTTGCTACCTAGGCACCATGGCGGGATTCTCTGTTCGTCTCCGTCCTCTAGGTTCTGCGGACGACAGGACGGTAGCCGTCTCTGCATGCCACCTCGAGGCCCGAGCGGAGTCGGTTGACAGAAATCGCCCCACTTTGGCTACTGAGACCACCATCCCAGTAACCTCGACTAAGCCGGACGATTTGTTGCTCGTCCGTCTTGGCAACGAGGAGGACGTCATCGGAAGGGTTAAGCAGAACGCGGGTACCCATGAAATGCGCATACAGGTGTACGACACCAACGACGGCAAGACGTTCATGCCAGTATGGACGAATCTGGACGGCGACTCCTATGCGGCTCCCTCTCCGGTGGATGACAATGACTATCCCCTGCTCAGGACGACAAGCTCAGTGCTCATGAGAGTTATGCTGACCCCTACGGGAAAACTCCGTGATGCATCAGGAACAGCTCTTGTAGCAGCGGGTTATCTTTCTTGAACTTTTTCCCTGTGCCACTTTTTCCTTCAATGCAGGGCCCCTTGGGGGACATCTGCGGTTTGGGTTTACTGCACCAAGCCATCGGAAGGGCCCCTTCATTGCAGGCAATCTCTT